TTTTTTTTTTTTTTTTTTGTCTTTTGATATTCAGGAGAAGAGATAAGAGAGGAAGTTTCACCATGAAGGCGCTAATTCTTGTTGGTGGATTTGGGACCCGTTTGAGGCCATTGACCCTCAGTGTTCCAAAACCACTTGTGGATTTTGCCAACAAACCTATGATCCTTCATCAGGTATTGCTGTGTTTATTTCATATATTGTCTGGAATCTAAAAATAAACATGCGCTTAGATAATCCGTTCAATTTACCCTGTAGTTTGTTTGATATCTTCTATTCTGTTAAGAGCACAATTTAGATTTGGACTAATTGCATCTAAATTTTGGTTTTTTTTTTGTTGGCTCAATTTATCCCGTTATATATATAATTTAATCTATAGATATTGCTTATTTGTAAGAATATCCTATTTTTATGATTCCTTAGAAAAGTTATCTTTTTAAGAACTTCATATATTTTTATTTAAAATTGTCTTTGTTGTTTAAATTGTGTTTTCTTCTTGGCCATCCACAGATTGAAGCTCTGAAGGAGGTGGGGGTTACTGAAGTTGTTTTAGCAATAAATTACCAGCCAGAGGTAAGATGGAAAAACAACATCTGATTGTATTCTTGTGCTGATATTATTTAAATTATTGGTTATAAATTCTTATGTCATATACTGCTTTTTTTTTTCCTTACTTGTATGATTAGGTCATGCTCAATTTTCTCAAGGAATTTGAAACAAAGATTGGTATAACAATTACCTGCTCTCAGGAGACTGAACCTCTAGGAACAGCCGGACCTCTTGCTCTTGCAAGAGATAAGCTAGTGGATGGGTCTGGTGAGCCTTTCTTTGTCCTCAACAGTGATGTTATAAGTGAATACCCATTTGCTGAACTCATTAAATTCCACAAATCCCATGGAGGAGAGGCCACAATTATGGTCACAAAGGTAAATTTCATTCTTTGCAATATTGATTCTTTTCATGATCAACGACCTACGAAATGGATCTGTGATTTCCTTGAATAGGTAGATGAACCTTCAAAGTATGGTGTTGTTGTCATGGAGGAGGGAACTGGAAAAGTGGAGAGATTTGTGGAAAAACCTAAAGTATTTGTTGGTAACAAAATCAATGCTGGGATCTACCTGCTGAATCCCTCAGTACTCAACAGCATTGAATTGAGACCCACCTCAATAGAGAAGGAAGTTTTCCCTAAAATTGCTGCAGATCATAACCTCTTTGCCATGGTCTTGCCAGGATTCTGGATGGACATAGGCCAGCCAAAGGACTATATCACAGGCCTAAGGCTTTACCTGGATTCCATCAGGAAGAAATCCCCTGCCAAACTCGCTTTCGGTTCGCAATTCATCGGGAACGTCCTTGTTCATGAGACCGCTGTGATCGGAGTGGGTTGCTTGATTGGTCCCGATGTTGCTATCGGACCGGGCTGCGTGGTGGAGTCCGGCGTAAGGCTCTCGAGATGCACAGTGATGCGTGGAGCTCGCATCAAGAACCACGCCTGTGTCTCAAGCAGCATCATTGGTTGGCATTCAACGGTGGGGCAGTGGGCGAGGGTTGAGAACATGACTATCCTCGGCGAGGATGTGCATGTTGGTGACGAGGTTTACAGCAATGGTGGGGTTGTCCTCCCACACAAGGAGATCAAATCCAGCATTTTGAAACCTGAGATTGTCATGTGATTTTGTTGTCTAGTTTGGTCATTTTCTGGGCCGGTTTATTTCTATTTCAGCTTTGTGTGTTTGTGCCTGCTGCCAAGCTTGTTGTTGAGCATCTTGGATATGAAAAAAAATTTATGTCCAGTTTAGCATGCGTGTATATAAGAGCATTATGTATGGACCATGTGATCGTGTGGAGCTTGTGACATGGTTCGCTCTTTCATTGCTTGTCTCTCAATGAATAAATGAAAGCTTTTTTGTTTGCAAGCGCTGATCTAATGTGCCAAAGTCCAAGGCATCTGCATACATATCAAACAACTCTCATGTTTTTACCTATCTAACACCTAAACATCATTTTTTACATACATTCCACCTTATTTTATGCATGAAAAAGGTGTATTTCACTTGTGTATTCTCATGTGATAAAAAATATTTGGGTGGTATGAATGTAAATAATAGTGTTTAGATGTGAGATATGTAAAAACATATGAATTGGGTTTTTTATATAGATGTT